TTTGACCACTTCACAGGTACGGAACTCACAAGCTTGGTTAATCTTAATTATATTAATAAATTACTATTTAACATTAAGCTTTGATTTAAAATTTATTTCGATCCCTGAAGTTTCTTCACACTCATTTTATTTTGATTTTTAAACTTCAAAATTGAAACGACCTAATTATTCAAGTTATTTAATGACTTGATGGGATGATAACGATGAATGTAAAATTTACTTTTCTATTGTATAAATAAAAATTAATTTGACTTGTAAAAATGCTAAAAATATAGAAAGTTAAAAAGGTAGATGAACACACGACATTTTTAACGTGGTTCGGTTTTACAACCTACTCCACGAGACCAAGCCCAGAGATTTAAAATAGATTATCAAAAGATTAGTACACAGTACATATTGTCTTATGCGTAAATTTAAAAGAACTCCCTTCTTTATTTTTATGCCGCGATCCCTTGCTCCAATTCCTTTGACGATCTATGTTCACAAGTTCCCCTTGTGTCAAATTCAGTGTGTTCAACAACCGTTTATGAAACTCGCCGTCTTCGAAGTACATTCTAAATATATATAACTAAAAGAGAATAAATAATTTGTTTTCGGTTTTCACCAACAAAGGATCAAGCAGTAAGAAAGACACAATTGGGTCAAATCAATAAGAAAAATACCACTGTATGACGCCTTTGTCTAAACCACCTTTCAATATTTAAAGAATAAAATCACCCACCATATTATGGAAAATATTCAAATAATCAATCAAAATTAAGATTAGCCAAATCAAAGACAATGAGATAAGAAAAACAATCCATCCATCAAATCTCTCAAATAAATATATTGCAAATTTCAAATAAATCCATTAGACAAAAATACCAAAAATGAATAATTAATTCTCAAGAAAATTAGGAAAGAAATCCAGAAATAATGCCAGTAAATAAAACCTTTTAAAAAATATTTGTTTTTAGCCTTTAAACTTTACATAAAAATATCATTTAAATCAATATAATCTCCAGCACTTAATACTTCAAAATATTTAGTAGTATAAATTTTTAACTCACACAGGTTAATAAATGAGACACATACTTCTCTCAGATTGTTTTTAATAATAATTTACTAACAAAAAAAACAAACTTATTTGAAAGGATAAACATGACAATTGAGACATTAAAATAGAATTTGAACTTTGAACTTTTTATTTTTATTTTTTTACTTTATCAAATTATGTTAAAATATTATCAGCTTGAATGAAATAATATACTCCCCTAGAGAAATTCCCAAAAATCAGTCTAGATATATATCACACTCAAAACCCTAGCCAACAAATTACCCTAAATTTATCAATTAATCATAAACATAATTATGAAATCTTATAATTAAACCAACAAAAACATCCTAAATTTCCTAACTCATAAGATGGGCATAATAATAATTTGATTTTTTTTTTTTTGAGTTAAGATCAGTAGGTCCAACCTCCAACTTTTAGTCAAGAATTTATATTTTAGTCAATTCAGCTAAACTATATTTAAATCTATCATTATCTAAACAAAACCTCGTACTTTATAAGATGCGTTTGGCACGTAAATTTTCGATCTATATTACAAAAATAAATTCTTTAATATATAATGGTATTGAGTGAGAACATTTGGGAATCAATGGACTTGGAATTATTCCCAAACGTCACTCTCAACTTGGTGGATTGGTAATCTAATTCTGTAAATTTAGTCAAAGAAGGAGAGCCAGAAATTTAGGGTTTCCATTTGCCAAATTACACTTATAACTATAATTAGGAATCTCAATCATATCCTTTGATTTGCTTTATTACTGTTATTGTTTTTTAATCAAGATTTTCTTTATAATTATTAATGTTTATGTATTCATCGTTAATATCATTAAAAAAAATCTGATTTCTTATTATACAAATAATATTTGTAAGAGCTGGTATTGTTTTATAGAGTGTTTGTGTCTTTGTAAATTTTTTTTTCCTTAAAAAAGGGTAATTTTGTGTAAATCAAATGAAAAGTGCTGAAATCGTATGTTAAATAAACAATTTTGGTCGGATATACATATAATTGAAATTGTCGGTTGAACAGACAACTTCAAAGTCTTTCTATGTTTTGTCAGTTTGATTGATTACTATTTTTCGGTAAAATCGTGTTCTCAACATACGATCTCATAGAAAGAGAAATCAAACTAGAAAAATTATAATTTAAAAAATATTATGAATAAAAACTATGATTAAGTTTTCTTTTCTGCATATAAGTATAATTGGATGAATGTTTGTCAACAAAATTAGGTTGAAGTATGTGTTAGTTTTGAATTGAGATTCAAATTACCAAAGCGAGCATAGTTCAGCAGGTAATTGACATATGCCTCCAACCAAAAGGCTGTGAGTTCGAAAATTGAGATTCAAATTGGTACTTAATCGCCCTTTAATTAAAATTTTTTTATTATTATTTAAATCTTTTTTTTTTTGACAGATTGAATCTGGTTTCTTATTTGTTATTAAAACAATACAATTAATCTCTTTTCTCAAAAAAAAAAAAAAAATTATATATATACAATTCAT